TATATATATATATATGCTATAACTGTTTTCACATCAGAGAAGAGATCACGTAGGTATAGTGAAAACGATAGAGCCTTAGGGCTCACATCTGGGAATGTGTGAGAGAAACTCAGAGGGCAGGATCCCTAAGCCTCCAGAACACAAGCTGTGTAAGAGACAGCAGGGTATGTCATCAGATAGAAGAAAATAAAGTTTTTTAAAAATCAGCAAAACTAGTGCATTTGGGTTGGTCTTCACATTTCTTTCTCAGTGCTGAGAGGAATGTATGTGATTACCAACCTGAGAGAGAAAAAGTTCTTGTTTCCTCTTGGCCCAGAAGGGAGTTGCTGATGGAACAGCTCACATTCACAATGGAGCTGTTTCTGACCAATAGAGATGTCTCCACATGGAACAGCCCATGGTGGTCTTGAGTCAGGGCCTCAGAAAATAAGGGCATTGTCTTTCCTTCTGTGTCTCTCCACTGCACATGGGGCTGTGGGAACCACCCATCTGAAGAGCATATCAGCTGCATTTCTCCGTCCTTCCATTCCTTCATGGTGATCGCTGGAGAAGAACCCATGCCTGGGAAATAGAGGCCAAAGAATCAAAGCCTGGAGTCTCTTTGAGTAAGGTCACATGACTTCACTGAGAGTGAAGGGGGCGATTCAGAGGGCTTCTGGAAGACAGCAAAGCTTAAGGAGCATTATATTTCACTTAGGACACCTAGGAATGAGAGATATTGGAGGATTTTCTTGCTTTGCTTTGCTTTATTTATTTATTTGTTGTTCATAAAATCTTCCAGGGACAAAGTAAAAAGTAAGACAAATGTTCACAGCCCAAGTTTCCACACACCCCCCTTCTCTGTCGCTGGGAACAAAATAACTCTGACCAGGGCATGGATCACATATACAAGACAAAAGAGTAAATACGTAGGACAATATTCTTAAAATCTTATAAATATGTATGTCCAATGGTAGAAGATGGTAGAGGTCCATTTAACATCTTGACATATGTCCCTGCAGATATTTACTAAATATAACTGATTAATTTTGACTCAAAACCCATGGAAGAAATGAGTTGATTACCCAAGATTCTGGCATGTTCTCAATTATATTTTCTAATCTTAGAAAATCAATTTTAACTCCCAAATATGGATGGTGGAAACTCACGATGCACAGAAGGGTTTTATCTTTCCTCCATCCCTGGCAAGACTGTCAGTATTTATGTGTTTTTTTTTGTTTGTTTGTTTGTTTGCCTTTCAGACCTACTTTAGTCTGTTCTTCAAAGATGGCTTCTAAAAATGCCTCCACTCCCTGTATGCTGTTCCTCACATCAAGAAATAAATAAAGCTTATCCCACCCATTCCCACCCTTGAATTTGGGCTGATGTTGTGCTTGACCAATAGAACATGGTGAAAATGGATACTGTGGGACCTCAGATCCTAATACTCAAAAGTAATAAAACTTACATTTTCTAACTCTTGAAGCCCTGAGTAATGATATAAGAAGCCCAGGCTACCCTACTGGGGAAAGTGACCACATGAAGAGGTTTTCGAAGATGAGAATAGCTACCTCACTCTCTGATTAGGCCTTAAGTTGCACCTAGGCCTTAATTTCTATGGGAATTCCAAGAAATAGAGGATGTTTTCTGAATTTAGGTAAATGAGGAAGTCTCCAAGGAGTTGTTGTTGTTGTTGTTAAGTGCCGTCGAGTCGTTTCCGACTCATAGCGACCCCATGCACAGCAGAACGAAACACTGCCCGATCCCGTGCCAGCCCCACAATCCCTGCTATACTCGAGCCCATCATCGCAGCCACTGTATCAATCCATCTCCCTGAAGGCCTCCCCCTCTTTTGTCGACCCTCCACCCTACCAAGCATGACATCCTTCTCCAGGGAATGGTCCCTTCTTACAACATGACCAAAATAGGTGAGACGAAGTCTGGCCATTCTTGCTTCCAAGGAGCATTCTGGCTGCACTTCCTCCAGGACAGATCTGTTAGTTCTTTTAGCAGTCCACGGTACTTTCAGCATTCTTCGCCAGCACCACAACTCAAAAGCATCAACTCTTCTTCGGTCTTCCCTATTCATTGTCCAGCTCTCACATGCATACCAGGCGATTGGAAATATCATGGCTTGTGTCAGGCACACCTTAGTCCTCAAGGAGATATCCTTGCTCCTCAGTACTTGAAACAGTTCCTTCGCAGTTGACTTCCCCAATGCTACACGTTGTCTAATGTCCTGACTGCTGCTTCCGTTGGCATCGATTGTAGAACCAAGCAACGTGAATTCCTTGACAACCTCAATCTTCTCTCCATTTATTGTGATGCTGCTCATTGGTCCAGTTGTGAGGATTTTTGTTTTCTTTATGTTGAGATGTAATCCATACTGCAGACTGTATTCTTCAACCTTCATCAGTAGGTGCCTTAAGTCATCCTCACTTTCAGCAAACAAAGTTGTATTGTCTGCATATCTCAGGTTGTTAATGATTCTTCCTCCAATCCTGATACCACGTTTTTCTTCATATAGTCCAGCTTCTCGGGTTATTTGCTCAGCATATAGATTGAATAAGTGTGGAGAAAGAATACAACCCTGACGCACTCCCTTCTTGATTTTAAACCATGTAGTGTCCCCTTGTTCTGTTCGAATGACAGCCTCCTGGTCAAGGTACAGATTCCTCATGAGTACAATCAAGTGCTCAGGGATTCCCATTCTTCTCAATGTTATCCATAATTTGTCATGATCCACACAATCAAATGCCTTTGCATAGTCAATAAAACACAAGTAAACATCTTTCTGGTATTCTTTGCCTTGAGCCAAGATCCATCTGACAACAGCTATGATATCCCTTGTTCCACGTCCTCTTCTGAATCCGGCTTGAACCTCTGGAAGTTCTCTATCAATATACTGCTGCAAACGTTTCTGAATTATCTTCAGTAAGATCTTACTTGCATGTGATATTAATGATATTGTTCTATAATTTCCACATTCTGTGGGATCACCTTTCTTTGGAATGGGCACAAATATGGATCTCTTCCAGTCAGTTGGCCAGGTAGCTGTCCTCCAAATCTCTTGGCATAACTGAGTGAGTGCCTCCAATGGGGCATCTGTTTGTTGAAATATCTTAATCAGTATGCCATCAATTCCCAGAGCCTTGTTCTTTGCCAGTTCTTTCATTGCAGCTTTGACTTCTTCCTTCATTACCATTGGTTCTAGATCATATGCGACTTCTTGAAATGGATGAAGATCGATCAGTTCTTTTTGGTACAGTGACTCTGTGTATTCCTGCCATCTTCTCTTGATGTTTCCTGCATCATTCAATATTTTGCTCACAGAATCTCTCAATATTGCAACTCGAGGCTTCAATTTTTTCTTCAGTTCTTTCAGTTTGAGAAATGCTGAGCGTGTTCTTCCTTTTTGGTTTTCAGACTCCAGGTCTTTGCACATTTCATTATAGTAATTGGCTTTGTCTACTCGAGCTGCTCTTTGAAATCTTCTGTTCAGCTCTTTTACCTTTCCATTTCTTCCATTTGCTTTAGCGATTCTCCGCTCAAGGGCAAGGTTCAGAGTCTCTTCTGTCATCCACTTTGGTCTTCTCTTCTTTTCTTGTCTTTTTAGTGATCTCTTGCTTTCTTCATGGTCTCCAAGGAGTAGCTAAGGCTTTTTCCTGAGTTAATAATGGCTAAACAGCAGAGGTGAACTGGTAAGAATGGAGGGAGAGTTATGGGATCCTCTACGGGAAGAACAGTAGTTATAAAGATATACAAGTGCAAATAAAGAAGGTCATTTGATTAATAAGAATTCTAATAAAAAAAATCAGAGCTAGCATTACTAGTTTCAGTTAATGTACTGGCCTACCTGAGAGAGATTGCAGGTTCGGTTCCAGACTACCACAGTAAAGCGAATATTGCAATAAAGTGAGTCACACAGAATTTTTGGTTTCCAAGTGTATATAAAAATTATGTTTACATTATATTTTAATCTATTAAGTGAGCAACAGCATTATGAAAAAGTTTGACATAGTGTGAGAAGTACCAAAATGTGACACAGAGACATGCTGTTGGAAAAATGGTGCTGATAGACTTGCTCGATGCAGGATTACACAAACATTCAATTTATAAAAAACACAATGTCTGTGAAGCACAATAAAACGAAGTATGTCTGTATATAGGACTAATGAAAATGCATAGAAAGTAAATGTTTAAGGGCTGAAAGAATTTAAATAGGGAGCATGTTCTTTTAACAACAGCAAAGCCAGTGGCTCTGCAGTGCCTAAGGCATTTGACTGCTAACCAGAAGGCTGGTGGTTCAAACCCACCAGCCACTCCTCGGAAGGAAGATTGGGCGATCTACTTCTGTAGTGATACCTCCTCGGAAATCCAAGGAGGAGTCGCTATGAATTGGATCCACCTCGATGGCAGTGAGTTTGGTTTTGGGTTTAGAAATAAGATAGTGAGATTTAGTATGGAAAAATTTTCCATAGGCTACCATCAGACTTCAGAGTTCATCTGGGATTGGGATAATGCCAGACAAATCAGACAAGCAGCATGTTACTTGAATAGAGGGCAAGAAAGAATAGAGAGGTGATTCCTGGATGAGTGAGCTTGGTAGAGTGCAAGTCCATGGTAACTGAGATTGTCTTATTTATCATCCTGATCACTTTCTGGAGGTACTGGGAAGGGAATAAGTTTTATATTCAAATAATTAATTTGATCCTTCTGAGTCTGTGGACTTATTTACCACAGTTACTGAACATCGGAGGGTCTGTCTGATACAGATTTGAAGAATGAATGTGCATTAAGAAAATTTCAGATATGAGAGAAAATTTCCAGTAGCTAGCATGTCAAAGGAATAGTAGCAGGAGTTGAATCAAGATAGCTATCTAGAATCCTCACCTGCTACCTTCAAATCCAAACTAGTCTCCTGGTAGACACCATCTTTTTCAAAAAGGCACCGGTACTGTCCATCATCTGAAGTCCTGGCATTGTGGATCTGCAGAGTCAGTCTCCCCTCGTCAATAGCATCACTCACCAACACTGTTCTGCCTTTATATTCTTCCATCTGCTCTCCAGCCACATGGTCCCCATCCTTATACACATAAACAGCAGGATAACGGTGGGCTCGGAGCCACCTCACCTCCATGCTCTGGGCATTAGCCTTGGGGGACAGGTAACAGGTTAATTGTATGTCTTCTCCCACTCTGACAAGCATGGGCTGGGAAGGTCCAATCACTTGTAAGGAAGCTGTTAAATACAATATACAAAACACAAAAAAAGACTCAAAAAGGAGCAACCCTATCATCAGCAAACTATGGACATCCATAGGAAACTGTGAGGTTCAAGGTCACTCTTGGAGAGGTAAGGCTTTGATAGAATCAGAATAGAGGTTGTCCCTGTTTGAGGTAAAACTAAACCATGGTGTGTGTCAGTCCCAAAAATCATAACTAACTCATCTGCTCCTACCTATAATTTTATTCAGTTTACATCACAACAAGAAAATAATTTTGCAGTTAAAACTCTTAAGAATAAAATTAATATTCTACCATTTCTAATCTAGATGTCCTCAAATTATTTCTTACTTTCTCTATGCCTTGGTTTTTAAACGGTAAAATTGGGAGGTTACTACTCAAATCACAAGATTGTTGTGCGTTTAAGAATAATAAAGTCTTTGGGTAACCATAAACAGTATGAGTGTAGGAGAGGAGATGGGAGACTTAAGGATGTTGGAGCCACTTCCAACTTTGTCCTTGAATATGAGTCTCAAGGAGATTCTTAGTAATGAAATCTGAAAAAATCCTTACCCTAGTTTTGTTTTCATAATACGTTTTACGTCAAAAAAAAAAAAAAAAGGGAGCTGGTGGCGTAGTGGATAAGTCATCTGGCTGTTAGTCAGAAGGTCAGCGGTTCAAACCCACCAGCTGCTCTGTGGAAGGAAGATGGGGAGATCTACTTCCATAAAGATTTACAGCCTTGGCAACCCTTTTAAGGCCCCACATATTCACATATTTGGGGCACTGGAAACACATCCAGTTCACTGTCCTCAGATGGTCTTCAGAGATATTGTAAGAGAAAGAATTGTGGAACTCAGTCAAATACAAAGTGCAGAACAATCATGGGTACACAAAAGGGATGTAATCCTCCCATCATGGGAGGTGGGGAAGATTTCCTCTGAAGGCTTCCCTGGATCCAAGTGACATACTACACTTCCAGTTCTCACCAGGCACTGGCCATGTGGATGTTGCCTAATTCAAAGTTTATCATCATAATTTTCTATTAAATGATAAAAAGGCTCTCACTCTGTTAGAAATATTTACAAGAGGAGTATAGACATAATTGTAGATTGTTTAGAAGGGACTCAATGACCAAAGGAAAAGTGTCCCCATATGTCATTAGCCAAAGTCTGCTAGGGTACCTCTCTAGAGAGAAAACTCACTGTCAATAATATTCTAATTTTCAGATTATTTCCTTCTGTACAAGCTGAGTTTTTGAGAAATGGATGTCTGTTCCTAAAAAATTCAATCCCTTCCTGAGTGTGAAGTACACTGAATTACACATTAATCCCTTGAAATCTGATAATCACACTATATAACTCTCTTTCAATCAGCATATTCAGTTAAGTGGGCTATCCCATTCTTCATATGTGCTAAATTATATTATACTATATCTAGACTTGTAGAATCTAAAATTTAAGAGACTAAATTCAACCTGTTCATTTTAAAGATGAGAAAATTAGAGATCAAAGAATTGTCAAAATCACACATAAATGATTAAGGACTTGCACTCTTTGACAAACATATTCAAAGGCAACACCACAATTTCCTAGTGCTTCTCGACAAACCACATAGGTCTCTAGAATTGTCTCCCAACTGCAAAATGATGATAAATCTATTAAGTTTTATAATTATTGTGGGAATAAAATGAAATAATTCTTCTAAAGCACTTATAGTTCCTGATATATAGTCAATATTTTGAAAACCTCATCATTGTTTTTATATATCAATAATGTCATTTGCCAGAGTAGGAACTGGGATTTTAGTCTCAGGACTTCTTTAGAGAGCCATTTGCTGGTAGCCTTTTGAGGTGGATCCTTATTTCTGAGTCTGTAATTCATGAGGACAATATAGAGACAGCTGTGAAGTTCCTGGCCTCTTCAGTCTCCATAGCACAACCTCAAAGCTCATGAGGACACAGCCCTCTTTTGCCATCTCACTAGGAGCAGAGGGAAGCTCCATATTACCATCTTGTGTCATCATGGTCCCTGCATGTCAGGGCGGTGTCCCTCTTACTCAGTATAATGGAACAGCATGGCTTTGGGTTGTATGTTGTATATGGGACTTCCAATGTATATGTCGAGTTGGCTGAGAGAACTCAGAGGAGTGACTTTTCACCTAAAATCTTCTTGAGGGAATAGACATGTGTCAATCTTCCCCAAACACTGGCTGACTTCCTGACCTGTAACTAACTCCTCCAGTTAAAGTCTGTCTTCTCAGGTGCAAATGCTGCCCCAGGCAGATGGAGATCAGACTCAAAGAGGGTAAAGCTCTCTCTTCAGATTGTGAAGTCACCTTTGATTCCAGAGGTCCTTCCCTTTATCTTTATGGTCCCATGGGTCCAAAGTGTCACATGAGACTCTCACAGAGATTGAAGTATATTTGCCACCCAGTTTTCCTCAAAAACTTGTACATGGGCTAAAGTGTGTGCGTGCGCACACACACACACATCCCACTAACAGGTGATGTGATGGAGAAGAGAGTATCTATGGAAGCCTTATTCATCTGGGCAGAGGGCGCTGGTGTCACAGGAAAAAGGGAGATGAAGTTAAAGGAGAAACCAAAAGGGGCTCAAATATCAGCTGGCTACCTTTCAAGCACTTGTCTTAAGTACAATAAAATAATGCCTGAAGTGCAATTGTTAAGGGCAAAATAAAACCTTGAAAAACTAAAAAAGAAAAAGGAAGAACAACAACAAACAAAACATTATCTACCCAGTCACAGGGTCCCAGACTGCATCTACAAAAGTAACAGCTCCCTACTAATAGTGTGAGGTTAGGGGCCACTAGGGTGAGGACCTGGTGGAGAATCCATTGTAGGGTCTGAGGGTGGAGGTGGTGGGTAGTTACTCCAGTTCTGATGATGCTGTCCTCCCTCACACTATACGTGCTCTGAAGTGTCCTTCCGAGCCCTCCTGCTGTCTTGTACCTCCCCCCACACTCCTCACACAGCACAGAGATCATGTCCATGCCCCTTGTAGGCATCCATCTGAGCCTTCTTGGAATCTCCATGAGCCCTCAGATAGGCGGGTTAACACCTGGAAGGATCCCTGAAGGAGGGTGTGGAGGCCTGCACTTTGCTAGTCCCCTCTGGTGCTAACTGAACAGGAGATGTGGTCAAGTCATGCCTCGGTCTCATCCTGATAAGGAGAGTCTCTCAGTAGCTCCCATGCATTATTTTTGGAGAGGAAACAGAAGGTCCCCTACATTGGTGCATGTCAGCATGTCCTGCTTACCCAGCTCAGTCTGGAGTTTCTCTGGAAAAACAAAGAGAATAATATATTGAGGAATTTGATCTAAGAGAAGGAGAGAAACTTTTTCAACAAAACAAAAGCAAGTTCTACTTTTAGTGGACATATCAATTAAAAAAAAAAATGCAGAAAAAGAAAAACATTGATTCTGTCCCACCAATCACCTGTCTATCCCAATTGATTTTTCTTTTCTTTCTACAATAAATAGGCTCTCAGTTCTACCATCCATGATTCTGTTTGTTTATGCTGGTATTTAATATAGTGATATTTAACTATCAGTTATAAAAATAATACATGTTCATTTCATAAAACCATAGAAAGTTTAAAAATATAGGGACACAGACAATAATCAACTATAACTCCAAACTGAGAGATTATATATATGTACTCACTGCTGTTGAGTTGGATTCGACTCATAGTGACCTCTCCTTGGGTTTCTGAGGCAGTATCACTACGGAAGTAGATTGCCCAATCTTCCTTCCAAGGAGTGGCTAATGGGTTTGAACTGCCAGCCTTCTGGTTAGCAGTCAAATGCCTTAGGCACTATGCCACCAAAGATCCTTATATATATGTATATTGTCTTTTTATATGTATATATTGTTGTTGTTGTTATGTGCCGTCGAGTCGGATCCGACTCATAGTGACCCCTCCTTGGGTTTCTGAGGCAGTATCACTATGGAAGTAGATTGCCCCATCTTCCTTCTGAGGAGCAGTTGGTGGGTTTGAACCGCCAGTCTTCTGATTAGCAGTCAAGTGCCTTAGGCACTACGCCACCAGAACTCCCAAGTATATATTACCTTTTGATTTTTTCTATACCAATTTACATGAGTAAGAATAACTACATGTTTATATCTAAATACACAGGATGTTCCAAAATTCTTACTGCAGTTATGAGTTATTTAAGCCTATAATACTTACATGATTGGAATGTATTTTTAGTTGGATGATAGATAGATAGATGCAATCTTTAGCACTGAATAATATTTCATATTTTTTCAGCTATTAAACTTATTTGAATAAAAGTCATTTTCATCAATGCTATACTTTATAGTAAGATGAGATATTTAACTCTACACTGTTGTATTTTTTTTTTTTTTTGTAGTTGTTTTTCGTGCTATTTATAAGTGAGGGTATAATAGTCACAGGGAACATCAAGCTCAATTGGCATAACATACTATACAAAACATTGTTCCACCTCCTACTTTGGCGAGTAGTGACTGGGATCTTAAA